ACGTGAATTGTGATATATATGTGTGTTTTGTTGATTACCAGAAAGCGTTCGATAGAATAAAACATGACGAACTGATGAAAATATTAAATTCAATTGGTCTAGACAGCAGAGATCGCCGTATAATAAACAATCATATATTACAAACAAACTGCAGCTGTTAGAGTTGGAGATCAGTTAACAGACAACATAAAGATAAAAAGAGTTGTGCGACAGGGATGCATATTGTCCTCATTATTGTTCATTATGAACCACGCGCTAACGGACATAGACGAGGGAATACTTATAAACGGAGAACGATTGAACAACATAAGATTCGCTAGATGATACTGTCATTTTTTCAGACAGTCTTGAAGGTCTGCAGACACTTGTCTCCAGGGTGGCAAAAGTAAGTAGCAGGTTCGGGCCTGATTTTAACATCAAAAAAACCAAATACATGGTTATACGCAAAAATAGGATACCACCTGGTCAATTACTAGTTAACCAATAACCTATAACACAAATCACCAACTTTTGTTATCTGGGTGCAAATTTAAATGAACAGTGGGATCAATCGATGGAAATTAAGATAAGGATCAAGAATGGCAAGATTAGCTTTCATCAAAATAAAAAAAATCTTTAACAGCCACGATATAAAATTTGAAATAAAATTTCGTTTACTAAAATGCTACGTATTCTCCGTATATTTTATATGGCGTGGAGTCATGGACCTTAACTGAAGCATCACTGAAGAAACTTAAAGCATTTGAGATGTAGTGCTATAGACGCATGTTGAAGATTTCCTGGATAGACAGAGTTACCAACGAAGAAGTACTACAAAGAATGGATAAAGAGCGCGAACTAGTGGTAACCATAAAACGTCGCAAACTAGAATAACCTTTGCTATATAAGGCGCAATGAACAACAATATGACCTACTTCGGACCATACTTCAGGGTAAAGTGCATGGGAAGAGAGGTCCAGGTCGAAGAAGAATATCCTGGCTGCATAACCTGCGAAAATGGTTTCACTTAACGGACAGGCATCATAAGAAGAAGAAGAAGTAAGAACAGACAATATCACAAAAATCACTTTATCGGTATGGTTGAAAAACTAATCGTTTTTTGTCCCAACTTAATCAGAGATAGTCTTAGAAATTAGTTTTAATAAATTTAGTATTACTAAATGTTTTTTTTTGTATGTCACTAAAATTCAAAAATTTTCTTTCATTTTTCAAAATTTTAAAAATATCTTAAAAAAAGAAGTTTTTAAATATTCTGAGATGGAAATTTTAGTGTAATAGTTTAGAATACATAATTATGTTTTATTTCAGAATAACTAAATTTGATATGGTACAGTATGAGTATTTTTAAATATAAATTATTTATCTTAGTATTTAGTATATTTTCAATCTTAGTGTTAAAATTTTACCACCTATGAATATTAATAATTCTTCACAAATATTCATAAAATGAACATTAGAATTACAAATTGGTAAAATTATTTTAATTAAATAATAAGTATTTACTCGTTTGTTCAAACTTACTTTAAGAAGGGTAAATGATACAGTCGTTGGCCATGCTATAGTGATTAGTTATGTTAACATAAATTTATAAATATTAAGAATCTCTGCTGTTACTGAAATAAATCAAATCTACAGAATAATTTTGACATGTTCACCTAAAGTTTCGTCTGGCTACAGTTACAATAAAGTGCTTAAAGGGTGTGATTACTTCTTGCTATCGCCAACTATATCAATAATTTAGGTATATAAACAGTTATTGGCCGGACGGCCAATCGGCATAAAAATGGGCACTCTAAATTACATTATTCTTATTGTTACCTTTAAATATTCTAAGAGTAAACAGTCGTTGGCCGTAGGCTAATTACTATATTGCAATGTGGCCAATCACTATCGTAATCCTTTTTTTGTCAGTTATAACATGCCAAAGGTGTTTCTTACCGAAAAAATATAAAGAAGAAGGTATAATTAAGGCTTGAAAATGGAGATCAAAGGCTTAAGAAAGATTCCGCGGTCAAGTGTCAGATTTAATAACACAGATTCTCTTGGACCTCACCCAGTATTAACTTCAGAAGAAGAACGCAGTTCTAGAAAGATGGATTTTGACCTCCTACAAAAAAGGATTGAGCTCCTCGTAGAGTGGAAGACATTCAAGCTTCTGTAAAATATTTCCTTGACGCAGCCCCTAGAGAAAATCCGTTTAAAGATAACCATCCAGGAAGAGGATGGTATCACTCCTTCCTAAAACGTCACCCAAATATAACTCTAAGAACCGCAGAAGGAATAACAGCAGCTAGCTCAGTTGTAGCCGAAGCAGACATAAGAAACTGGTTTACTAATGTAGAAGACTATTTAAAGGAAAAACAATTATTTGAGATTCTTGAAGATCCCAGCAGAATCTACAATGGAGACGAAACCTGTTTTTGGCTTTGCCCAAAGAACAAAAAAGTTCTTGCACCAAGAGGAGCGAAAAACGTTTATGAAATACAACATCATTCAAAAAAACATATCACAGTGATGTTTACATTTTCAGCTTGTGGTGTTGTGACCCCACCTATGATTATCTATGCTTACAAAAGACTGCCAGCTGAAATTGTTAAATCTGTACCTGACACCTGGGGAATTGGATGCAGTGATAACGGTTGGATGAAAAATCAGCTGTTCTACGAATATATAGGAAACATTCTTTATCCTTACTTAAGCAAAAATAACATCAAATTTCCAATAGCCTTGTTCGTCGATGGTCACAGCACACATTTAACCTATGAAATAAGCGAATTATGCACAAAGCTACAGATAATTCTAATTGCTCTGTACCCTAACTCGACTCGAATCTTGCAACCTGCAGATGTGTCCGTATTTAAGCCCTTAAAAGAAGGATGGAAAAGTGCTGTATTAAAGTTTCGGAGAGAGCACCCTACTGAAATTGTAACAAAGGACAATTTTGCTGCAGTTTTAAAAACAGTAGTTGATAATATAAAACCAGAAAATATTAGAAATGGTTTTCGTGCCTGTGGGCTTTTCCCTTGGAATGTATCTGCAATTGATTATTCCAAATGCACTGGCAAGACAAAAGAACAAGATAGAGACACGGAAGTCAGTAAAATTACATTCGAAACATTTAAAAAGATTGTTGGAGAGGAAAAAATGGAAAGGCTTAAAAACTTTGTTGAAAGTGATGCACATAATTCCGATTTTTTGACGTTGTATTATGTTTATAAAGAATTTTTGGAGGCAAGTCCATCCGTGAATACTGATCAACTGGAAGATATGGATAAAGGCGAAGATACAGAGCAGCAAGAAGGAACGGACCAATTCCATGGGACGATCCAATCTGAAATCTGTGAGCCAGAATTAACTCTTGAAATCAGAAATTTACAGGATGAAAAAAATGAGGGTTTTATTAAGCATACTTCGGAAATTATCCTAAATGAGCAAATGTTTGACATTGAAAATATTCCTATTCTAATAGAAGAAAATACTAGCTTCGACAACCAAATGCCTAGCACTTCATCGCTCGCCTCTGAACACGTCTTATTAAATAAGTCGTCTTCATCAATCAGCGATTATGTTATTTGGCCGAAAACTCCTGAAAGGAAAGGAAAAAGAGAGACGGAGAAACTACCATTTGTTCTGACTTCCTCCGTTAGGAAAAAGACAATTAAAGAAAAAATGGCTATAAAAAAAGAACTAGAGATGAAAAAGGAGAAACGTAAGACTGAAAGGTTGAACAAAAAAGAACTAAAAGGAAAACAAATTAATAAAAAAAAGCAGCAACAAAAAGAAAGCCTAAACATAATTATACAGAAAGATCACCAAACAACACTAACGTTAAACTTGTTTTTAAAAATAATACAGATCCAGAAGCCGTAACAAGCACAGCAGGTGATATAGAAAACAATGATCCCAATATGAAATATTATCCAAATGTAAGTGTTAATAGCGGTGCAACCAAGGAAGTATCTAAAGTAGTACACGCAGACGATGGTGATGTTTTACTCAACGTAACGGAAACCTTGCCAAAAATGGACTTCCAAGATAGCCCTGAAAACATCCAAAGTTGTCTTACTGTTGTGCCAGAAAAAACAAAAAGAAAACTGTTTAGTGACAACAGTCAAGATGGAATCATTAACACGAATATGGTTATTATTACACCATCTGCTCCTAATCCATTTAAGAACAAAACTATATACACTGGGCTGTGCTATACGTGTGTTAATAATATAACACGTAGTCAATATGGAGTAAAATGTTCAAATTGTTCCAGAACATACCATATAAAATGTATTTCCAAAAATAAGATGTTATCCTCCGAAATGGAGAACTTTTTGTGTAACGTTTGTTTTGACAAGATAACATTGTAATTGGTTTGTAATTTCTGGCATTTATTAAAAATTTTTGAAACCAAATTCGTCTTTGATCAATAAAATTATATATAATTTTTAATGGTTTTTTAGTTTTTTAACCAAAATTAAAATAACGCAGGTAGGATACATAAATAAGAAAAATATGTAGGTACCTAGGATAACTTAGCCTTTTATTGGTGGCCAATTACTATCTACTTATTATGCCAATCATTATCAAAATTAGGCCAATCACTATAAAATCTGCTTTTGCAAGAATAAAACTTTTTTTATAAATATTAAACATTTTTAAACAATAAATGACATACGGAGTCATAAAGAGGATACTTTAGTCTAATATTTAGTGTATTATTTAAATATATGGTTTTTAATACAAATTAATGCCTTACACATTTATCAAACTCCAATGCTTAAGTGGCCAATCACTGTAACCTTTACCCTACATAATTTAAAATTTTCTTGAAAGACATTTTGTCCATCAAATAAAAAACGGTAAAACGTATTACTTATTGTATAAAATTAAATTTTAAAGATTAAAAATTATTTTATCCATTTAATTAATCTTGCTATATAATCACAATGATACAGTTATCATCTAGGGTGATTGCCTAGGTTTTTTAACTAATAAGTAATACTCACTTGGTGGAAAGTAAATCCTTCTGGGCAAATCCATGAATGCTTAGAGTTTTCTTGACAATAATGGAACACCTCACATCCTAGATCTTCATCTGCATAATATCCAGTATTTCTTCCACTACAAGTAAATTTAGATTGGGGCAAGAGTAAGGAAAGTCTGTCTGGCTCCTCTTCCTCTTCTTTTTCTTCCTCTAGTTTATTGATTGCCTAAAATCAAAAGTAGGTATTAATTGTAGCTACGCAGAAAAAGGTATTTTCATTCTTCACTGCAAACGTAATTTTAATTTCTTGTACATTCTTTGCAATACTTTCCCATTACTAATGTTATCTTTTAGGATATTTAGAGAATTCATCAATATAATCACATTTCAAATGTAGATAGAAAAGAAGAGCAATCTCGAAAACGAGAAAAAATAAACGTTGCAAATCCCCCAAGATGATTATTTAATTCGGACTTGACTGTGTAGTCTCTAATTTTATCTATTTACAATTATTTTCTATCTGCATTTATGTGATGTTCATTGTTTCCTTGAGTGTTGTAGTATTTAATACTAATGTCCTCGCAACATATGACCCAAACAACATGTGACAACAATGTTTGACCAAAAACAACTTACCCCTTAACTTGTGAACTTAAGTTCATTTTAATTGTGACTCACCTGTACCAATAAGAATTGATGGTATAGATTGTAAATTTGTTATTACATATTGTCGTATTGGTTTATATGTGATTCATGATGGGTCAAATGACCCATTAAAAATCTCCCCTTGTAGTCTATTACAATCAAACATACAGTTAAAAATCTGATCTGATCAGATATTTCGAAAACAAACAAACAAATTATTTCTAATGTTAGCAACCATAAATAATGTGGCTACAAAATATAAACTTGTCTCAACACTTTTACGATATTTTCCAAAAATAAAAAAAAACAATAATTTATGTGATAAGAATGATTTATAAAATTGTAAAAATTGTGAATACACCACAAAGATGAAAGTTGAAACCTGGATGGAGGATGATTCAAAAGGTATCTGGTACCTGTTGCAAAAAAGAACAACAGAACGAAGAAGAACACTGAAAACGAACACATACTACCAAATTAAAAAAACATAAGGGCATTAAAACAAACGAACAAAATATACTTAGAATATTCAGCAAGAATTCTTATTTGTGAAATCACACATCCGATGAAAAAAAATTAGGTAAAGCACCTGAGTGTGATGGCTTCCATACTGAGTTCCGGATACACAATGGTGTTTACACGAAACAGTGGCTTGCTGTAACAAAAATGCTTTGTGCTGTTGCACGCCAATGTAACAAAACCTGTAGGATAATGGAAAGGATAACATATAATTTAAGCTGGCTAGCAGAAGGTGCCGGAGAGTGACTACTTGACACTCAAAGGAGAATTCGGCCAATTGCATGCCCCTACAGAGACCGTAGAATTAGAAAATGAATGACAAGGTTATAAAAAAAATCTATAATTATATAACTAAGATAAATAAAAGTGATTGTAGAAGTTGCTCCAAAATGTGAGTGGGCGCCAGGAAAGTATTTACATAAACTTTCCAATGTATCTTGTAAAGGTGTTTGCTGAAATATAGAAAGGATATAGGTATGAATTGAAATATTTAGTTTTTACCAAAACTTTAATCCCTAGCCAAATATATACAATCTAAATTTAATATACCCACCACCAATTATGTACAGCTAATCTAGTTATATACAAAAAAAAATAAATGCCCTGGTTATACAACTGGTCCTGGATGATCTAAATTTACAAATAATAAAATATGGAAAAAAAATGGTAATAATTGACCTAAAAAGGTAATTTATTTTACCTCAGAGATGCAACTCTGTATTCTGGCTTTATTGAATATAACAGTTAAAAGTAATAAGGACACTATCTTGACGAGATAAGTGTCCCAAACGTTTAAATATATATTGATAATAAAATCTAAAAAAAAATAACTCTCTGATTAAATGTGTACACAAGAAACCATACAAGTGAGTTAGAAGGTAGGACTTAAAAAACCTCTACCTGTAGTTGACAATTTGTATTTAAATATTATTCAGTAAATTATTAAAAAAATGACGACTCTTATTATTAGATGAAATACTAGAAGTTAAATATACAAAAAAATTATACAAAAAATATTATAGGTAAAAAAAAATAAATCTAAGAAATAAACTTAATCCAGATTTACTATATTTTAAGGGAGATAATTCCCGCTGGTTTCCTAAAATTTTGTTTCGTAATCGGAAGGTCAGATCTGGACCTCTGGGGAGCAGCTACGGCATGGAAAAAAACAGGCCTGGAACCAGGTATAACCGGACTAGGTTTCAAACTTAATAAGTACTTCTTGTTCAAAATTATTAAAAAAAAACCAAAAGCGAATTCTTCCCCCCGACTTCTGTTTGACTCCCAAAGGTAGGCTAAAAAAACATTTCTTTTAGAGTTCTTTCTTATACTTTACAGAGTAGGAAAAAAAACACACAAGGTTTATGAACCTTGAAAGGTTTTATAAATGTTACTTATGAATTGTGAGAGCAAAAAAAACTTAATGGTTTATAGATAATTTGACGGTCGTATGGTTTGACAATTTAAATGGATTAATTATATCGACAATTTTAATGAAAAGCATATGATACGAATATATTTTATAATATAAAGAGCGATATAAGACAGAATATTTTAACGATACTCTTAATAGCAATTTTACCGATAGATAATTATGTTTTACGGCCGGGAAGTAAAATTAAAATACATATGATTTTAAATCAATTAACACTTTCTATTTAGATGTTGAATATTTCTTAATGACGGATGGAAAAAAGTTCAGATAAGTATATCGAATTGAAACGTGACAATACAGGATCTCAAAATGGCTGATGACTTTTTTTATTTTCGTTTTATTTATAACTTGGATACTTACGGCTCACAGTGGCTATAAACCAAACAGGACACTCCAAACAAAAAAAAACCCAAACTAAAACTTCCTATTACTTCTTCGTAAAAAAAAACTGTTAAATTCCAAAAGCCACGCTACGTCTGGCCCCTACCTTGGACTCAAGTTTCTGCCACCAAAGCTCAAACAGAAGTGCGCTTCGCGTACTCTATTTGAGCTAGGTAAACTATGATTTCAAACTTGGACGCTTGGTGTCGCTGTTTCATACCAACTTAAATTTTTTAAGATTCAGAAAATCAGTAAGAGGATTGAGATTTTAAAATTTATTTAAAAAAATGTTTACGGAATATTATAGTAACGTTCTCGTTACATTGCAATGTTCTACACATATATTTTACATAGGCAACATTCCTTTTTCACTTAAGAAAAAAGATAATTAAAAACAAGCAGACTTTCGATCTCGTCGAAGCTGTATGGACCAAATCTTGCCACTAATAAGTTTTATAGAAGCTATCTTTTAAAAGAAACCAAATTCAGCCACAGCATTCATTAATTTCACAGCAGTATATGATACTGTTTTAGGACAGGAATTAATATATAAACTGGCCCATATTATCTCTTGCATGAAGATATTCAACTTCATAGACAACGTATTGACAAATATAACCTTTCAAGTAATAATGTAATAATAATTTCCAACAAAAACTTTTATCTCTGGTCTTGTTAACCAAACACATTATTCCAAATGAACAATACTGAGTTTATAAAATTCCTTGTGCAGACTGCTCCAATCTTATACAGGCCAATTTAATCGTCGCATAAAAATAGAATTTATGAACATTCAATTTCTGTTGGCAATTTTAATTTAATTTCAACTCAAGTCAACACCATCTGCAGGTCATAAGATTTTCAAAACTCCGTAATCATAGCTCCCATCCGCATCTATTAATTAAGAATTATCTGAAAAGCCGTAGAAATTATAAAACGGCTGAATTGTCTCAATAAAAGAGATGAGGGCAGCCGATTCAAAAACTTCTCTTGGAGAAAACATCGTCCGTTTCTTCTACCAATAGAACCAATCCAAATTCCACCATCAGGAATCTTCGCGCCAAGCCCCACTCAAGCAACACGTCAGTGAACCATGTCATCATCATGACGACGTGGTTTTTAATTATTAGACGGGAAGTTAAGATATTTGTTTATTTTCCTTATAGTTTGCTTTTTTACTTATTATCTTTCAATCAAACTTAAATGTAAAATGTTATTTATTCTACTTATTATAATTGCCATATTTACGATTTTCATTTTGTCTCAAAGGAAAGGTTTTATTATCAACTTATTACCTGCAGTTCTTCCCCTCTTCGAAGATACTGCTTCTGTTGTTGGAATCTCTTTTCTGGAACCGGCGTAGGGTAGCCTTTGCTAACTGATGTCCTTGCAGGAATTGGATAGTTTATGTTATTTGGTTGTAAAGTCGCTTTTAGAGGTTGCAGTGTTGCTTTTATTGGTACTGGATAGTTTTGATTGGCATATGTGGGAGCACGATCTTGACTGGACTCTGCTTCACTAAAAATAAAATAAATAAGGTAACTACAAAAGTAAATACACACAGTTATTTGTATTTTTATTGCTTAGTTGTAGAATATTTTTCACTGTATTAAAAACTGTAGATTTTTATTGTGCAAAAAAAATTCTAGAACAAGCATGCAAGCATTTGTAAGAACCAAATTCTTAAGACTGTAATAAAAAGCCCTGCCTACAAAAATCATCATTGCTCAACTTGATGCTTCCAAGCATGAGCAACGCGTCTCTAAAAAGTAGTCACCCCTCTTCTGATCTGAACTGCTTGTATCTTGTTTGTTCTCACTTAATGAAAATCATCTTTTCAATTCTCGGATGTTTTTTCAATATCTACTTCGCAATATGGGCCCAGAATCATATCAACCATATCTCTGACATCGACAGAATGCAAATTACCAATAAATATTGTTATCTACAGGCTCGCTTGGATTTTAGAAAATTCCTTATTCTTAATATCTGAGCAAAAAGTTGATTATTTGTGCTGCTAGATTAAAACTGTAGAGGAATCGTTGTAGGTCATCGTCATTTTTAGCTACCAGAATAGCATCATTTTCATAGCAGAGTATTTTTATTTACATAGCAAAGTTTTTTTAGTTATTCATCTTAAATCCTGCATTAACTTCATTTACCCTTTCAATTATTTAATCCATTAATATGTTAAAAAGGTCTATGTGAAGATTATCTCTCAGCCTGATACCAGATGAAACTTTTTGTTAGACTGCATACTGCTCTTATTTTTGTTTTATTCTTAATAATAAGCTGCCTTACTAGGTTTATATGGCAGTTATAGACACCGTGCTGGCCTGAATTGCATCCTTAGGGTTTTCGCTGTCAAATTCTTGTCAGATCTACATAAGCTGTGTATGTAAGTTTATTAAACTCTAAGGATTTTTGTATATATTAGCGTAGTATGAATTATGTATCTATCGTGTATATATTCAGCTGGAAACGTTGCTATTCTTTAGATATTCCTACCGATATTTTATGTGCCAGTATTTTTGTCAGTAATTTTAGCACACTATAAGTAAAGTTATGCCATGTTTTTATTCGGATCCGATTTTGAGCCTTTTTTGTATATTTGTATAGTTGTTAGTTTTCCAGTCCATTCATTGGGTATTATTCCAGTTCATTCTATTTTGCAGTATAGTTTTATCAGGTATTTTTCAATTTCTCGGTCTCCATACGTAAGTTCGTATTAAGATGATGAGTATTCGATTTCTATCTCATTATTGTTTAAGTTGCTATTATTATCATTCAGATTTTCAAAGTATTTTGCTCTCGTTTACTGGTTTATACCGTTTATTACTTCTTTGTTAACTGGTTTTTTCCTATCATGTTTCAGATCATGTTTTATATCTTTTTCTGATAGCCATTTCTGATAGCCTAATGGAATCAGATAGCCATCTGATTCCATTTCCACCGAGGAATGTTCCACTATGATTTTTTAAATATTTTAATTGCATTGTTTGTTCTATTTTTTTACTCTTTTTAAACTTCATATCCTTTAAATGATCTGTTGTTAATGTACTGTATGTAAGTGTACTTTGTTTCCTTGTCAGTTTCTTGATTTCTATGGTGAACTATGGTTTATTATTTCTTTTATTTTTGTATATTTTTCTCTCCTTTAGCGCTTCTTTATATTATATTAAATTTAGTGAGATAATTAGCTGCTTTGGGCTTCTTTGGTACTGGACTTTATGTTATTCTTTATTTTCGCCCAGACGGCTCTACATTATTTATTGCTGTTATAGGATTTTGAGTTATATCTTCTGGTAGTCTGTTTTGATAAGGGTATCAAATACTTTCGTCCTTGAGTGATTTTATATTAAATTTAGTGAGATAATTAGCTGCTTTTGGCTTCTTTGGTTACTGTAGTTTATGTTATTCTTTATTTTCGCCCAGACGCCTCTACATTATCTATTGCTGTTATAGGATTTTGAGTAATATCTTTTAGTTGTCTGTTTTGATAAGGGTATCAAATACTTTCGTCCTTGAGCAATTTTATATTAAATTTAGGGAAATAATTAGCTGCTTTTCCTTTTTTTACTATATTCACAAATCTAGTCCGTGTTGTTCGAATGTTTCTTATCATAACCAATATCTGGTTTCTTGCCTCTTGTATTAACAAAAGTATACTTTTGTTTATTCCTCGTGGTCAAAATAGGTATTACTACTACGTAAGGGAATACTTGGGAACTTTAATAAACGAAACTGGAGACCAAAACAGTGAAATAAAAAGACGTATCGAAATTGCCAGGGCCACCTTCATAAAGATGAGAAAATTCTTCTGCAACAGAAACATAAGCATCCCTCTACGATTAAGAATGCTGAGAGGCTATGTATTTAACAACGCTAGTATACGGTGTAGAGGCCTGGACTCTCAAACAGAAACAACATGAAAAATATTGAAAGTTTCGAGATGTGGTGCTACCGTCGAATGCTGAAGATTAGTTGGGTTGAAAGAATAACAAACTGTGAAGTAATACGAAGAATAGGAAAAGACCCAGAGATTTTGTTAACGCTAAAGCGAAGAAAACTCGAATATTTTGGTCACCTGATGAGAGGACATAAATACGCATTACTTCAAAATATAATGCAGGGAAAAATAGAAGGAAAACGGAATCCAGGCCGTAGAAGAATGTCATGGTTGCGGAATTTGAGAGAGTGGTTTGGCTGCACCACTAAATGAATTTTTTAGGTCAGCCGTAAACAGGTCAGAATAGCCTTGATGATTTTCAATCTCCGATAGGAGTGGCACAAAAAGAAGAAGAAGGACACATATTTGTATCAGCATATCTGCATTATCATTAAGCGAGTTTCCGATTGTTTAGCTAAGTGGCCATAAAAAATACTTTGTTTTTACTGGATATTTTTTCTAGCATACTTTGTAGGTTGTCAAAAAATTCTTCTCTTTCTTTTTTCGGTTTGCTTTCATCCGGTGCATATACAGTGTGTCGTTTCATTAGTCAATTCCATTGTTGTCTCTATGATGTTGTACTACCTTGATAGTCGTTTAAATTTTTTTAATAATTAACAATCTTACACCTACTTACGCTTTAATTCTTGTCAACGCCACTATAAAATATTATATAATTTTGGTACCTCTGATTTAAATTGTTTTTCTATTTTTTTTTATATTTTTAAGATAAATCTATAGGCTTTGTTGATCCAGGATGAAATGTTTCAGGTTTCTTATCTTACTATATTCTGTTTCCATGCTCATTTTTCTATTTTTCCATCGATATTGCTACGTCTGATTGATATGTACGAGGTTGATAGACCAGTTCTGTGAACAATTAGTAATTTTACTTAATCCACCTATTAATCATCCTAGGTGGAGTTAACAACATTTGCATTTTTTTTTTTTTTAATTCTTCATTGGGGTGTAAGGGATAGTGATGCGCAACGTATAGCCTCTCCGATCCAAGTGTCAACCTCACCTGCCCGTGTAATGGTCACCTGACTATTCGGTGCATCCTGCTAAATAACAAACGAAGCTCTGACATCCGAGAGATTGTCAGTGCCAGTATAAGCAATCCCCCCACTTTCTGCCCAACGGCTTCGGGCGGATGAGCTGGTAAGTGGCGAGCACTCCTTTGTCCTAGGGTTGGGAAACTGACTCTAAAGACGGATGAGCTAAGACATTAACCAACGGCATAAAAATACAGAAGGTAATGGAAAACCACTGTATTAAAGATCATTTTTCATATAAGCAAGAACTTTTGATGAACTAACTTCTAGTACTCAAAATACGAGTAAATAAAGATATAGAAAAGTTACTTAAGCTTTGATTTCACGTATAGTGCTTCTAAAATTCGCTTAGACATATTTCGTGCTATTTGAGTAAGATTCTAAATTTAGGTTTCGAATATGTCAAAGAAATCTTCGGATTTTTAGTTTTCGCTTTATTTTTATTTGTCGCTGTATGCGTCTTTGGGATGATATTTTATTATCACTTCCGTGACGGAAAAGATTTGATTTTACGTTTAGGCCTTCCTACTAAGGCGATCTGATGAGTCCTAAATAGAATAAAATTCATATAAGCGAATGGTAGAAGCACCATACCATGAAATCAAATCTTGAATGTTTTTTCTATGTCTTATTAACATTAGCAATAAGTGAAAAATTATCTTTGTGATCCATGGGTAATTTAGTTTTTCTAGTTATATGTTGGCGTATACCGCTCATTTTCTTCTGAATTTTTCAGTTGGGGCTAGCGTTAAAATGGAAATGGTGATGTATATATATTCTAGATTTATGTATATGTCCCTATTTAATATTAATATAATCTGGTCATCTGATATCACAGCCACTAACATTATATTGTCCTGCTTGATCATTCTGCGCTTTGATACAGAGATATTGTTTTTAGTTTTTTTTTTTCTTCTGCATTTTATTTAAATATCCTTTAATAGTTATTATCATATTTATGTTTTAATGGTTGTTTTTAGTTTTTTTTCTTTTTATAATTTGCAAGCATTAGTATTTTATTAAATTCATGTACATTTTTACATCTACTTAGTTATTATGTTAATAAGTTGTAATGTACCTCGTACTAACTAAAAAAAATTACCTGATTTTTTCTGTGGTATATAAAACTATGGTATTACTTTTTAAAATTTTCTTTGAAATAATTAAAAATTTTAAAATATTTAGTTTACCTATCGATTTCATCATCTTCGTAAAATTCATCCTCTTCTTCCCTATTAGCTTCTGTGGGACCAAAAGTTTTTATCGTGGAACCAAAACCCCTATTTTGCAGGTGCTTAACTTGTTGCTCAGACAGTTGTGTGTATCCTGGTATTGGTGTAGCTGGTTCTGGTAGACATCTTACAGTAACTATCATACAACATATTGATAAGTATATCTTCATTCTAAAAACAATAATATTTTTAATAAAAAATGAAAGGGACTTGAAATTTAGTAAAAATTATAAATATCAAAATTTAAAATCACATAAGATTTTAAAAATAATGAGTTTTATAGTCTATTGTTTTGATGTTGACTACGGTCTTCTTCGTATTAGAATTTGGGCGCAATTCGTTTATAAGTGATACCGTTGCAAGTTGCAAATAATATAGAATATTAGGGTTCTGAAATTATCATATTGCGTCTAAGTTAAATATTATGTTTATATGGGATTAAGCTACTATTCGAAATAAAAATTATATTTTATAAGATGGTATTACAACCAAGTTGTTTAAAGGTTATTGTTTTCCAAATGGACGGTTGACTTACTTCGATCTTGTAGGGATATTAGATTATTAGATTTATTTTTATATTATTAAATTATATGAATATATTATTTTAAATCATAAATTATTCAAATATAGTTTAGTATTTACAGTACAACCTCATGTGCCATAGATGCTTAGACCGTTAAAAGTTTAAAAGATCACAAGAAGTGACACCAAATAAGTATAAAATCAAGAAAATAAAAAATCGACAGAGAATTAACTTCAGCCATTTGTCTTAAGTAATATTTTAAATGTACTAATACAAGATTAAGTTTATTTTATGAAGCATTGTTTGTATAACAAATATTTAAAATATTTATGTTTTATATAAAAATCGGTTATGTTTTTGTCTGGTTTCTACTTTATCTCATAAATTCTTTAAATTGTTGACTAAACGTTCAGGAAAAGAAATTCCACTATCAAAACTGCAATATTACTTTAAATACATCAGAAAAAGCATAATACAAATTTCTTATATGTAACAAGTTGTGTAAGAAGTACTAAAAGCAATTAAGGTACTAAGGCGTGTCACTATTTTAATCGTAAAAGGAGAGCTGACCGGTCCAGTTAAGAATTATTATTCGTCTGGTCTTCGATCTTGTTTATCAACATAGCCATGGTATATCAACTTACGTAAGATTGATGCAAGTGCTTTAGTGCTGCACTTTCTTTGCCAAGCTGTTGAATTTTCAAGTGACATTACTGAATACAATAAATTTTGTGTAATATTGTGCAGGTAAAGTAAACGTTGAAAAAAATATTTATAAAATGGTTAGTTATGAAGCATAAAAATATTAATGTTCTGCAATTTTTTATTAACAGTAAAACAGCATATAGGAGAAATAAATCAAACAAATCAAAGTTGTAAACATCCCAATTATTTAAATAAAACCTACAAAATATTTTGTATATACACTAAGATGTACATATAAGTGCATTTATATTACTAGAATAAGTACATTTATTAATTTAAATTACTATTTTAATGTGAATAAACCACAATTAAAGTTTAAAATAAATTTATTGATGTTTTATTTTCCACTTCGGAAATCGTTTTCAAAATACAAATATTTATTAATGTCTATACATTGTTTTAAAACTTTTTATGACATTTATTATAAAATCTAGGAATTAATGTTTTTGGCAAAATTTTAAGTTCGATAAGAGGTAAGAAATTAATTTGCCGTCGTATGATTTTAACAACCAGACCAATTAAAATGTTTTCTGTTATTGTCCTATTCAAAGAGCCATTCAGCGGTTCAATCAAAACGGCACCTACACAATAAGGTCATAATCAGGTCATAAAAAAGCAACATCCTCATGCAATTATCGATTTTTGGTTTCTTCGTGTTTAAGAAATGGACGTCTCTAGGCCCGTTTTCACGCTACGTCTTATTGTACATTTTGTCGGTCATATAAAACGTACGACAAAACGTACGTTTTGTCCAGTGTATACACACAATATATTTGGATTTCATTTCGATTCGACAAGACGTACGTTTTGCTGTTTACACGCCACGTTTTATTGTATAGGATTTGTCCTATCCAACAAAACGTACAATAAGACGTAGCGTGAAAACGGGCCTTAACTTCGATTGAGATTCAGATCCGGAAGATCCTGCGTAGACGTCGTATTTGTACTAAGACAAATTAGAGAAAAGGTCATCGAGTACAATAAACCAGCATATCTATGTTTTATAGATCTGAGAAAGGCTCTCGATCGCTTCCAAGTTGAAGACGTCTTACACCTACTGTATAAAAGAAACATACTAATCAATATTATAAAAGCCATCGAAAACATCTACCTCCAAAATCGAATACAGGCAAAGATAAATAGAAAACTAACACAGTGTATACCAGTACAAAACGGAATGAGACAGGGTGACTCGTTAAGCCCCACTTCTCTTTAATATAATATTGGACGAAATAATATAAGCAGTACGTAAAGGTCATGTCTATAGAATGGGAAACAAAGAAATCCAAATGTTATATTATGCAGACGACAGCGCATTAACCGCCGAGACAGAAGACGAGCTCCAAAGATTAACACACATCTTTAATACAACAGTTAAGAAATACAATATGACAATATCAGCATAAAAGACCAAATGAATGACCACATCTAAATACCCACTACGGTGTAAAATCGAAATTGATGGGAAAATAATAAATTAGAAAGCAAGGTTTAGATATCTGGAAATAGATATAACTACTTACGGAGATGTTGAAGAAGTACGACAACAAAGCTTAAAAGTAAGTAAAAGCGGCGGAAACTTTTAATGACACAATCTGAAAGAACAAACACCTAAGACAAGACACAAAAAGAAGAATCTATAAAGCAGCAATTAGACCATATATAACATATACGGCAGAGACAAAACCCGACGAATATCAGGGAAAAGTCTGTTGGATAGGGAGAGAAACGAAAAATAAGAAGGGCATGCAATATAGAAGACATAAATGGATAGGTGATCAAACAAAAACAGGAATGAAACAAACATATTAGTAGGATGGTAGAGAATAGAATAGTTCGAATAGCATGAGATTAGTCACCATGGACGATGAAGTATTGGCAGACCAAGAAAAAGATGGTACGACAATTTAAACAACTTAGGAGGTTAATATTGAAGAATAAATAGGCATTAAAGCCTACATACAATAAGGTGAAGAAAAAGAATAAGAAGAAGAAGAAGGAGACTTCGATTAAGCTGGCAAGTTACCTGAACGAGGTCCAAGATGTCGATGTAAGTAGGTGGAAAGTTCGTCGACGACTTTATGAAGTGAATTTATTATTCAAAAGACCAGCCCTATATCCACAGCTATCTGTGGAACAATGCAGAGTTCGACTCTGCTTCTGCAAGGAAACACGAAAATTGAAATTACGGAGATTAGAGTAATATTTTGTTCTTGGATGAGTCCAAGTTTTGCTTGAGATCACCAGATGGTTGCGAAAAAATCTGGAGAAGGCAAAAAGAACGATTCGCTCAACGCAATATTTCTGAAGGAATAAGCTATCGAGGAGGCTCAGTAATGGATTGGGCTAGTATAAGTTCCGATGTTGCACTCACTTAGCTCTTGTAGATAGAGGTTTTATGATCAAAGCAAGGAAAATATTAAACATTTTCGACGAATATGTGGTATCTTTCGAGTCATTTATAGAACCTAATTTTATTTATATGGACAATAACGCGTCCCCACCATGCAGTTGATACTCAACAGAAAGATCGATGAAAGAAGGGGAATTGGTAGAAAGAAATACTCATGGCTCCAAAACCTTCGTCAATGGACTGGCTTATCAGCAGATGAATTATTAGATGCCGCGCAAGATCGAGAACGATATCGGCAAATCGTCATGGAAGCTACCCACGCCTAAAACTTGGGCACGGTCCTTAAAGAAGAAGAAGACCATGGTAGAATTGTGAATTAATACTTAGATGTCGGTATTATTTGAATAAATTGGCCAGCTACCAGCCTCGACCTTAATCCAATAGAACATATATGAGGCACACTAAGAAGACGAATTAAAGTTCGGCTACCCCGGGTACCCCGTCCAAACAACTTTCCTGAGCTTAGCGCGGCTCTTCAAACAGTATGATATGAATTGGACCAAACTTATGTGTTTAAAATTTCATTACCACCATACCAAGACATAGACAGGAGGTTATAAGGCCTCTGGGAGCAAATATACAGTATTAATAATAATTTTCATATTTTTTTTGGAAAATAATAAAGCAGGAAGCAAGGTTTAGATATCTGGAATTAGATATAACTAGTTACGTATATGTTGAAGAAGAAGTACGACAAAAAATGCACAAAAACAAGAATCTATAAAGCAGCAATTAGACCTATATTAATGTACATGGAAGAGACAAGACCTGACACATCTCAAACAAGACGATTACTAGAAACAACAGATGAAAATACTATGACGAATACCAGGAAAAATTCTGTTAAATAGAGAGAGAAGCAAAAAATAACAAGAGCATGCAATATAAAAGATATAAATAGATGGGTGATAAAACGGAAACATGAGTGAAACGAACACATTAGTAGAATGGTAGAGGATAGGATAGTACAAATAGCACGAGATAAGTCACCAAATGGACGAAGAAATATTGGCAGACTAAGAAAAAGATAGTGCGACAATTATATGAAGAACTCCTAATGAATTTTTAATCACACTATTTTTTATTTTTGTTTTTTTTTTTTATTCTCTATGGGTAAGTTAAAACACACCAAAAAGATATAGAAAACGAATTTTTAGAACTTTTTATTATTTTTACCTAAATTTTAAAATGTATTGTATCCATTATTGTATAAGTTATAGTTTATGTTTGTTATTAATGTTGAGTGTCATAGCTTCTTACAAATAATCTCAACGACTAGTAAGTACACTGACATTTTGTGATATATTGTAAATATTTACACATTTTTCTAATTACAGTGTCTTGATAAAGGAATTAAACAATTCCGAAAGCTAGACCAAAAGTCAAAAGAGTGTTTCTGTAACATCCCGGCCAAACTTCCGACTGCAGCCCCAATAAACTTTGTTGTTTGTTTAAATTGAAAGTCACGAATATCCAGTATTCATTGTATATATATATATATATATATATATTATATATATATATATATAATATATATATATATATAAATAATATGCATCCATTAATGCATAAAACATTGACAAATAATTTAATATAGTATAATGAACTGCCTCATATTTGGGCGTAGATAAGATGTGTACAATTTCTACTATTTTCTTTTATCATTCTTTCGCACAAACTTGCAAACCACGGAATGGCAAACAGGTGAACCAATTTCTTTTTGTTACGAATTATTACATACAGCAACGTACCCACAAGCTTTATTTATAATACTTTCTCTTTTAAATTTGTAACAGATTGATGATATAAGTAACTGGAAATTCAAGAAAATATATGACTTATTATTATATTATTATTGTAAAGTAATTAAGAACAATTTTATCGGCTGTTAAATGAAGTGAATTATATTATAAAGTTTTTTATTTTTAGTGCGTCAATTAACTTAAATGTTTGATAATTAACGAGACTGATTATAAGTAATAAATAAATAAACAAAAATATAGCAATAAACGCAATAAAACATTTAGGGGTTGTATATCCAAAATATTGAAAGAACTTTTTAATTGTATAATCTGGTAAATAGAAAAAAAAATTGAACATCGTTTCAAGATGAAAATAAAAAAGGCTATAAATTAATTGTTTGCATTTAAAAACTAATGATTGCTTGAAAAGGACAAGTCCTTAGTTGTAAAACCTATTGCTGAAGATGATAAGGCATAATATTTTTATCATGGGAATCAGTGAATGCCAGAAACGTGACCTTGTATGTATCCCCACAGGCGACATATATATATATATATATATATATATATATATATATATATATATATATATATATATATATATAATATATATATATATATATATATATATATATAGTATACAATACACGCTTCCACCACCGATACAGATAAAAAATTAATTTAAAAGTAATTTCTGTAAGTTAACCAGACCTTTAAGATCACTAATATGAAATCGCTCTTATTATTTGTGATTTTAATATAAAAGTAGGTCAAGATGTGACTGGGAATGTTACTGAATAATACCGTTTGCGTGGAAAGCGAACGGTATGAAAGAGGCAGACCTTTATTCTGATAGGAAAGCTTTAGAAAAGTCGCGTCGTCTCTGTACATAAAAAATCACCGGTAATCGTATAGCTAGAACCGTACGAAACCTAATTTACTTTATCAAAATAAACTGCATATTTTGGAGTAATATTACAACTGTAAAAATATTTTAGCAGTCTACATAAACTCTAACTACGACCTACTCTGCTCTAATCTAAAGAATAAATTAAAGAGGTTGGCAAAAACGGCTAAGCCGATAAAAGCTAATAAAATATAAGCAAAACTTTTCAAAAATCGCTAAATATGGAAAAATCTAGTAACGGAAATAAGGAATAAAATCCTTAAAACTCTAATTGGAAACCAATCTGTTAACGACAACTGCGCGGATATTAAAAATACATTCCTAAAGCAAAAGCCTTAAGTGAAACAAAAAAAAAACTAAAGAGTCGTGAATTACTTAAAAGCTTATACTGGATCTACTGGGACGGGGAAATTTCAAGAATAAAAATCCTGCCAAATATTGTAAACTTTAAACAATCTTGTAAACTATCGAGTACCTTTGTAGGAAACTTAAGAATTAAGAGGAAACTAAAAAATTTAATCTCCACAAAAAACAATAAAAAAACGCACGTACCGCATTATTTTAGAGTTCAGCACACAAGGGAGAAAGTAAGCTTTTATGGCAAAAGAGGAGTGTAAACAAAGCCAGCAATGGTTTCATGGTGGGTGCGCAAGAAAGAGGAAGCAAGTAATGTCATATCTCAGATTATCTAGAAAAATTAACTCAACTTATGCAACGAACATATACAGGAACGTTAAACAGGAATACCAACACCTTTGTGTTTGTATTTAACAAATTCAAAATATTCAAAAAAAAATTCAAAGAATTTTGGAAGGCTGTTGGACTATATAAGTTTGGAAGTTCGACCATTGGGGAAGGTGTAGTATAGAAGAACTTCAAATAGCATTGGATTATTTAAGACAAAATAAAGCAGCAGGATTGGATAGAATTGCTGCTAAGTTCTACAAGTTTCTTCCAGAAAACTTTATATTGCCTAATTTTTCCTCTTTCTAAAAGTGGATACATGGAAAGTGCAGAAAGTTATAGAAGGTATTAGCTTCTTAAATGCAGTAACCAAACTCATTGCGACATTGACTTTAATCAGACTTACCTCGTGGGTACAAAATAATAACATTTTAAATGAGTTCCAGGCAAGATATAGAACTGGCTGTTTAACTATAAACAACATTTTTAATCTTACAATCCACAGTATAGTAAAAATCCAACATGCACGAGGATTAAAAAATGTTTATACATTTTTTGTAGACTTTACTGCTGCTTTTGATACAGTTGATCGGCGGGCCCTTTTTTACCCAAGTTAAGTCATTTAGGATTATCTACTAAAGTGCTGAATTTGTGAAAAAGTATGTTAGCGAATATTAAATCGGTCGTCTGGTCAAGGGAAGGTCTATCTAAATGTATAATGTAGAAATGAGACAGGGATGTCTTTTGAGTCCATTACTGTTTGCGCTTTTCTGAATGACCTACATGAAGCATTGGGAGACGGTTTGGAGATAAATGGTTTGATTATAAGACTTTTATTATATGCAGATGATTTGGTTTTAATGGCAATCAAATCGATGGTGCTACAGCGATGATTAATGAACTGGAAAAATACTGCAGGATGTGGAATCTAAAAATAAATTTTGATAAATCCAAAATTCTTGTATTCAGAAGAGGAGGTGTGTGATCAGGGAATCTTGGAAACTGAATGATCGAGTATTAGAAGTAGTGGATATATAGATTTCATATTTAATAAAAATAAAAGTAGTTTTAATCATCCTGTCTAGTAGATGCCAAGCATTATACATAATGCCCGGGCAATGTGATGAATTTAATAGTATTTATTATATTGACCGACAGTATTGGGCATTTTTTTATATAGCCCGGGCATTATGAAAAATGACCAATTAATCATATGGTAACATATATATATATATAATATATATTATAATATATATATATATATATATATATATATATATATATATATATATATACTATATATATATATATATAATATATATATATATATATATATATATATATATATATATATATATATATATGGTATATATATATATATATGTATATATATATATATATATAATATATATATATATATATATATATATATTTATTTATTTATTTGGGAATGTTACTAATACCCAAGTTGTCGTTTAAAGCTCATCTAACAAAACGTCAGAGTTTGGCAAATGTGGCGATTCATACGGCTTAGAGTAGTTTAGTGTCCAAGGCTGATATACCCTTTTTGGCTAAAGTAGCAGTGTATGAGTCGGTGGTAAAATCAATTTGGACTTATGTGTCTTAGGTATGGGGTCTTTTTGAGTACGATGAGGTGGAAATAATCAGATTTTATGTAAAAAAAATTTTCTTGTCCAAGTTATTCTCTTAATTTTATGTTAGATTGTTAGACAGGTATTGCTAGAGTCAGTCTATATACGATGGATTTACATCAAAAGTATGTTAAAATGTTACTAGGATATTCGAATGATAGATTGCCAAAATTTTTTTTTAAAGAAATGATAATAGCAAGGTGTGACTGGTAGAAAGATTGGATGAGCATGGAAGAAAAATTTGGTATTGAGGTAAGTTCTGAATGGAAATGGAGAGATAGCTGGCCTAGCATGATTGAGAATATGATGGAAAAAAAGAACGAGAAGATACAGCTTCAGGCTGAGAATAGAGAATACAAAGAACTGCGGGAAGAAGGAGTAAACATGCATTATCTACTGGAAATGAAAAATTTTGGGGACATTCGATGGCTGTTTAAATTAAGATGTGGAGTTCTATATTTGAATGATCGACCTGGAAGAAATAATGAAAGAGGATTTGCTCAATGTGTAACACGAAGGAAAAGGAATATGTAATACATATTTTGGGAAAATGTTCGGTGTTGAGACAGATTAGGTTAAAATGGTTGGGTAGAAATGAACTTAGTAGAGTGGAAGTAGTTACTATGATGAGTTAGCAGGTTATTGTAGGGAGGCATGGCCGTATAAGTATGAGATAGTGAGCCTATTTAATTACTTAATCTAATAGCATGATGTTAGTTCAATAAGATGAAAATATTAAAATAATCATTAATAATTTGTTTGCGTATAGATATTATATTTTTATCTGTTATCTTGACTATCTTAAAATTAGTATTGTTATTATTATTATATAAACAGCTTTCACTCCCTCTAAGGGACAAAATCAATCATTTCAAATGCAACTATCCCTTACTGTTATACATTGTAAATATTGTTTGTTACTCAGTAGGATATATACATTTAGTTTATTAGGTAGTATAACATTTATCTGAATATTTACTTAATTTATTTTTTGTTACTTCCTTTTTTTTAAACCTTCAGTAAATATAATATTAATTACTCCATTTCTTCTAAACCTTTGCATTAAATATGGGTCCCTGGATATCATTAACATATTTTATCTTGATTTCTATTGAAAACAATACATGGAGGCTTTCAGTATAATCTGCTGCATGATGACTCTAATATAGAAATTCTTTATATTTTGAAAGATTTCTGCAGCTTTGCGCCTGGAGTAGAGATTTTTTTCTCAAACCAGTATGTTTTAGTTAAATCTAAGATATCTTAGTCGTGTACATTTTTGAGAAAAACTGGGTTTCTGCTAATAGTACGAGCCGATTTTTCGGTGAGATACTACCTCCGCAAATTCAATGGTTTTCAAATTCAAACTGCTTCGAATTCCATGTTGATTGGTGCAGATTTAAAATACTTAAGACAAAGGGACAGACATTTATTTTTCTGTACGTTAATTTTTAATAAATGTGTATTTGATGTATTTTTGTACAAGTAACAGCTATAATCAGAAATTGGACGTATCATAGGTCTATGAAACATTAAGCTAATGTGCCCAGTTTGTTTTATAAAGACCCAGAGAATATTAATAGCATTTTCGTTATTTTTTTGAGATTTTGTTTTATATGATGTTTCCTTAGCTTAATAAGTTCCAAAATATCTGACACAGCTTTTACTTGGAAATTTGAATTGACCAAATTTATATATACTTTGGACTTCTAAGTTTTCTAGAAAAAAGCATATTTCTGTCTTAGATTCTGATATCGTTAATCCATCTGATTCATAGCATGCACGTACTGATGAAATAGCTAATATTAAATTATTTTTAGAAAGATCAATGTTTGTGTTTTTTGGTACACTATTTTCTCAAACTATAGAATATAAAATACATAAAAGTGTACTTAAAATACTACCTTGAGGTGTGCTTCTATTGAACCGTCGGGAAGATAAAATTTTCTCATTGATTTTTAAATAAATCAATCTCCCTGAGTGTAAAGTTGTTAAAAAATATGATATAACAATTTATATGCTACCTGACAATAACTTTTTTATCAAAAATTAATTTTCAAAAGCAGATGATACATCCAGAGATGCTGCTGCAGTGAATGAGTTATCCGTTAAAGTTTGGAAGATTGTTATTAAATTCTAATCAATGTTCTAATCTATTTTTATTTAGCCTTTCCAGGGTTTTAAGAACACAAGATGCTAGAGATATTGGGCGATATGAATTGTGATCATCAGCTCATTTGTCAGGTTTTCTTATAGGTATTATAATATATTCTTTCCGGCTCTGTGAAATTGGTGCTCTGTCTGCCAAATATTATTTAGAATATTAGGAAGATGGATTTTGTGTATCGGTTATAAGATTAGCAATCATAGAATAGGATATATTGTACCAGGAGTAGTAATATTATTTTGTTTAAGGACCCTTCTTAGTTATCATGAGTAAAACGGACGTTTTAAGTAACGATTATCTCTAGAAATAGTAGCAATAGTTGGTAATATCAATTGGAACTCAATCTGGTGAATTTTTTTGGATTTTTTTAAGCAATTTACTTTTCTTCATACCGCCTTAATAGTAGTATTTTGATTTAGACTTTACAATACTCCTTCCAGTTATTTTTTCTTTCAATTTTTTTTTTGCAAATACGTCCATCGTTTTGCATTCCACTAAGTTACTTATCGTACGATTTTGCTTATATTTAATATAAGTCAATTTTCTGTGTCAGGCTGTTTCCTGACACGTTATATGCCACCATGGTTGTGGAATATGGTGTTTGTTTGTAGTATTTGTGTATTCTGGTATTGCTCTGTCGGCTGAAAAGTAGAAATTTACAATTAAATCGCCATACATCCTGGGTGCGTTTAGAGAGGCGAAGGGTAATGGGTACATATTCCAATCTGTTTTGTTGAAGTTCCAGATTTTATGTGTTTTTCTGGGTTTCCTTTTCTCTTTGATAATGAATTAAAAATATAATTGATAGATGGTTTAGTTTGGGGATTTTGTAGAACATTATAATTCATTAGTGCTATAATATCTTGCATGCAGATATTGAGGTGAAAACCTTGAAAACCTAAGGTTCAACCTTAAACATTAATCCCATTAAATTAATAGTTCATTCCTTTTTTCAATAATAGAGATTTACTGATTTAGACAATAAATTTTATCATTTTGAACAAATTATCCATATCCATTGTCATCGATCTAGAGTCAAAACATAATCAAGTGTAACATTTGAAATGCTGTAAATCCATACATGGAGGTCTTATAGACAACTTTATTGTTAGCTACAAGTACACAAGGCACTGAGGATGATATGTTCAGATCGAAAACGTTCTGCTAGAACTTAAACGTTGACGAAACTTTTATAAAGTTTTAATTATTTGTTTTTTTATACCACAATACACATGTGTGAAGTGTTTTAACTTCTCTGTTTTTTTTTTAAACTATGGTATACAGCCAACTACGGGGTTTTCCCATTAATTTTATGAATAGTTTTATTTGTTGACGATAATTCAAAGTAAATACATGTATATTTTATAATTGAAATATTTATATTAAATCTATTTTTTGACATTTATTATTTAATTTCAATAATGCAGCTGACCAACCATATCCATTTATAGGATATGTTCTAGAGCAATTAAAGTTTTTAAAGCTATAATACATACCAGGCTTAAACCATATCTCCGATAATAAATGAATTTGATTTTGGTAAAGTAAAAATTCTAAATTTATTATTATTATTATTATTGAGTTAATAACTCGACAACTAATGGTCATTGGCATGGTACAGTCAGGTACCTAGTGTAGTGTGTGTGTGTGTGTGTGTGTGTGTGTGTGTGTGTGTGTGTGTGTAGAGTAATTGTCTTGATACTAGCAAAGTCGACGTCATTGTCTTTGCTAAGAGACGCTAATTGTATCCGAACGTCTGCGGTCCCTCCGGTGAGTACCGATCGCACAAGGATAGAAATTATTTTCATTCATTAATTTTTAATAAACGCAAATTTCTCCACCCAGGTGAGATTCGAACTCACAACCTTTAGTTTTAAAGGTAGGCGCTCTTACCACTGAGCCACAGAGGGGGTTAAATTCTAAATTGACTTAATTTAAAACTGCCGAAAGAAATTCATTGCAAAACATTTAATTTTGAGTTTAGGTCTGCACATTTAATGACACAACTGGATTTGCATGTTTACTAATTAGTTGGAGAATTTCTTATTCAGAAACATTTAAATTATTTGTTTGTTTTATATCATTTACAATTTTCATAACCAATTCTAAAGTTGCATTAATTATGCTAGGATCAGGACCTCTGACTGTCTATCTGTAACTGTTTTTTATCATGAGGGCTATTTAATATTTCGTCAGAAGTACCGGGAGCATTTATTACGTTAGAAATAATCTTTTTCCTGATCTGTTCAGATAGATCAGGAGTATTTGGTATTTGTCTTTTATTTGTATTTCCTTTTTTTAATATTGCTATTGTTGTATAGCAAATGGGTAGAAAATTTTTGTCTAGAAGAGTTGACTTGTGAAAGGTTGTGGATAGAAGTAGAAAACTAGGTTGAAAATTTTTAGAGTCTAGTGAATGGCTTGTATTGCTTCTATTTAAAATGTTTGCATATGAAGTTTTGGGTGCCTGTTTGGTTGCATAAAAAAAATTTATGTTTGAAAAACTCATAAGGTCCCTTAAGCTTACCTAAAGTTAATTTTTTGGCAATATTTTGTATTATGGGACTCTTCTCATTTACCAGATCTTGGTCGACTCTAGCACTGACTGCACAAATGATCATATCTTATATCATCATAATTTTATAAATTATTTTTTGTTTCAATGAATGCGGCATAAAATTCGTAAAAAAATATTGAGAAAAAAAAAGCTAAAAATCAATTAAAACAAAATTTTATTTAAAGGGTTTTATAAACAAACTATTTATTACAATGGAACCAAACTTACATAAAAGAACAAGTATTAAAAGTAGATAGTTACAGAAGATGACCGATATTAATGACCATTAGTCTCTATGCATAAATTTGCCCTTTTGGTTAGAGAACGCCGAGTTTCTGCAAAAATTACAAATTTTTTTCTAAATTCGCTGCAAGTATCTTGTATTCTTAGCTAGGGTTGTGCACGATTTTGTATCGGAATGGAATAAACAAATGCCCAAACACAATAATCGCAAGGATTAAAATCTGGCAACCTTGCTGTCTAAATAACTGGACCACCTCTTCCAATTCAGTGGTCTTCGTAGTTATTATCAAGAAAGTCTCGTACATTCCTGCTAAAGTAGGCCGGACAGCCATCATGAAAAAACCAAGTTTTCATAATACCTACCTGATTTTCATCTGTATTATAAGGACATATGTCTAAGGGATTATCCCCATCTAAATCACTCATCTTTATAACTCATTATAATCATTAACGCAAACAACAAAACAAGTAGGAAAAAATTTTCAATACTATTTACACTGATAAATAAAAATACGTTCGTACAGTTTGAATTCTTCCGGACAACTGTGCTAAAAATAGAAAAAAGAACAAAAATGGGATACCTTGGTCTTATAATCGCAGAAATTAAATACGTAATATACCGACTTACCATTGAAAGTAAAGTTTCAAGAAGATGATAAATTAAATATTAGGAGTATCTAACTCTCTTGGTGATGTAACGTTAGACAATAAAATAAATGGGTGTTCAAATGGAAGATTTATATCAAGTGCTTCTGATAAGGAAACATTCCATAATATTATTATATTCAACATTTGAAGACGTACTAGAAAAAGATAAGGAAACAAACTTATTTTTAATATATGTATTTTGTTAATTGTTGAAACAATTGTATGGTAAAAAGTTAACTACATAGCTTTGGATCCAGTGCAAACAGGTATAATTACCTGAAACTTATGTGCTTGATTTCTTAGTGTATGTAAGATTTACATATATACTTTATTCATGTAAATTTGGTTCAAGTAGTTACATTTCACTCTTAATCTATCACTAAAAGTAGTTTGTCTTTTTCAGAAAGAGTTTTTTGTATAGCACAACAAATAAATAAATAGTTTAAATTTGTATCATGTATTTTATGGTTCTGTATGTAACAATTGTAGATAGGTGTTTACTTACTAATATTTGAGAAATATGATGTAAATACGATTGGATGTTTTTCTTCAAATGAAAATAACGAATTATTTAATCTGCTACCGACTCGTAAAATGTCATTGTAATTATCTAGAAAGGAGTATAATTGTAATTCTTGTGTAATTTGCTTAACTCTTTTGTGAATTACTCTGGTTGAAATATTCTTATTAAACATTCAGGCACCTGTACTAACTCAGTCAAGTCAAATTATCAATTTTCTTTGGATGGTTACATAACTTTCTTCTCCAATTGTGCCTAAATCTAAGTTAATATGGCCAAATAATTTTTTTATGATTTTGAACATTTTAGGATATTTAATTTTTTTCTCTTCTATATTTAAGTCTCTTCTAGTTTCTAAAAGATATCGAATTTCGAGGAATGATGTCGATGTTGAACAAAATATAACCTTTTTGTGTTTATACGCCTTTAGAGCTTAATCTGAAAGATCTCTTCAAAATATTTTTTTTGTAAATTGTGAGATGTTTTAGATTTTCATTACGAAGTACATAATGAAACATTTTGGTAGTATCGATGCATAAACCAAATGAAGGCCCTCTGTCTTCTTCTTTCTTGAGCGCTTGTCAGGGCGTGATGACACTCTTAATATTATTAGCTTGCTATCTCCATTGGCTGCGATCCTGTCTCATGCGTACATCTTCATGTAGAGATTTTCTCACCAGAGTCTTCATTTGGTCTTCTCATCGTGTTAGAGATATTTCTCTTTGTCTTCAGCCTTCTACCTTTCCTTCTACTACCAATAGTTCCATGGCCCCAGTTCTTCTAGCTATACGGTCGAAGTCATTTAAGTATGCTGGGCTTACTTTTTTTAATAGCCTCTCTTTTATATAAAGCTATTCCAGAATCGTCATGGTTGGTTCTACGTTCAGTCCAGGACACGCATAGAATTCTTTTATAAACCCACATTGTGAAGGCTTCGATGTTACTCCTATTGATTGTTTTGAGAGTCCATGTTTCAGCTGATTATGTAGCAATAGGAACAATAAGGGCATTAATCAATCTTAGCTTAGTATTTCTTGTTATTGTTTGGTCTTTCCATATTTTAATTAGTTTACTTTTCGGGCTATTACTAGTCTTCACTTTATTCTTTCGCATTCGCCATTGTTGTTTACCACGGAGCTTAAGTATACAAATCTGTCTATCAGTTTGAAATTTTTCACTTGTTGTATGTGGGATAGATTATTATTTGCTCTGTCTACGATCGTTATTTTATCTTCTGGTTTGAAGTTTAAATTTTTCGCTTTTCTGGCTTAGCCGTTCGGTGATAGTAATCATTTCGACTTCAAGTTCCACTCCTATCGGAGATTGGAAATCATTCTGGCAATTATAATTTTTTTGGTTACGCGCCTGAATAGTTCAATTGAACTGCATCCAAACCATTCACGGAGATTGCGTAGCCACGAGATTTTACGTCTTCCTACGCTTCTTCTACCTTCGCATTGTTTTCCTAGTTGTTCGAGAACTTGTTCATTTCGACTTTATTCGCTGCTAATATAAGTGTGTCATCTGTGTACCGCAGGTTACTGATTTCTGCCTCCCAAAGTGATTCCTCCATCCCATTCGTCCAGTACTTCGTCTCATTATACGTTCAGAATATATGTAACAGATATATATGTTATTTGTTTTGAACGTATCTGAATATATTCCGTGTATTCTAACTTTGGATTTCTTATTAGGTTCACTAGGTGGTTAAGTACTCCCATATTTTCTATTATACTTTTATAGAGTGGATCACATTTTACTAAATCGAAAGTCTTTGTGTAATCTATGAAACAGAGCAGCATTGGTATATTGTATTCTCTCGCTTCTTCTATTGTCTGTCTGGTGTTCAGTATCTGCTCCTGCGTTCCTTTTTCTGTTACGAATCAGCATTGCTCTCAGCTATCTCTAGAAATAAAAAGTTTTTGGCCGTTCACTGATTAATGTAGCAGAATTTTGCTTGTATGGATGGTTCTGGGCAATGGTTCTGTAATTGCTGCATAAGGTTAGTAATTATTTTTATAAATAGGGATATAGGTTGATTCGCACCGCTCATCAGGCCATTCACCTGTGATCAATATAATGTTGTACATATCCAGTATTACATCTACACCAGTCTCGCCCATTGCTTTTAGAGTCTACGCTGGTATGCCATCGATTCCTGGGGTTTTTTGTTTTATAGTTGATTGAGAAACTTTTTTACTTCAGCTCGTAAAATGATTGGTTCTGCCTCTCTTATTGCAGATTTCTTGTGTTCTGAGACTGATGCAACTTTTAAAGTGTCGTTGTATAATTCTAAACAGTAATTTTTTCAAGTCTCTGGAATTTAGGTAGGTAATTGTGATGATATGATCTTTAAAAGCTTTTGATATAAAAGCAATATATTACTAAGAATTCAGATAAAGAAACTACATAAACACTAAGTTAATCTTCATTACGCCAATATCTCGACATACTTTTCTACCACTGGTTAAAGGCAGGCATAATTATCACAATGATTGAGTATGAAAAGCCACTTCATGATAAGTTAAGGAGGGTGTATCGCAAAATTTTTGAGATAGTTGTCCGGCAACAAAATTCTACACTTATTTGTCTGTTCTTCGCTCGCGGAACTTTTCTCTGAGTAGTCCTAAGCTTGTCCTTCATGTCCACTTTACAACAGCTACCGCCAAGATAAACCTGAGCCTCTTTCACCAACGTAAAGGTCTCACTCGCTCCTTGAAGGGGGACTCATTTCAATAGGCAATTAATCCTTTGTTCTCCGCTCTTTATTGGCAGCTTCATCGCGGTTTTTGTTTTTTTATTCCTGGCCCATTTTTGTTCCACTAGAAGCTAGGAAATGAATGATCACACCCAGCTGAGTTATCAGGATCTTAAGGAGATCCGAAACTAACACATAAAAAAATAAATATGTATGTGTGTTATTTATGTTTCAATCAATTAATTAATAATATGAATTAATCTGGTATAAATTTTAACGACGATTTTTACTACGTCTGTGTTGGTAAGTATAAGCATTAATCAAATAAAAGGTAAGTATATAAATATTGCATGAAGAACTTGATGATAGTCTAAAAAAAAACTGAGGAAAATAAAAGAATAGGGTAATAATAAATAAATACCTATTATATGTAACGGGATATTTTATCTGATAAAAAATTAATATTTTTGAAATAGATATTAATGGAAAAAAAAAATAATGAAACCCATATTAAAACAAAAACCATAACATACATCTTGTAACAAAAATGCAATCAACAATTCGGATAAGGTATTTAATAGACTTTTTAATTTTAGTTACCTATTTTAAAGAAATTAGCTCACTTGTGCAAAACCATTATTCTCATTTTTTAATGTTGTTCTCACCGTTAAATTTTTCTCGCTTTCATTTGTACCTACTAGAACAGGTTTGATTTATTTTAATTGTTAATTATAAAAGACACTACTTTCATGACTCCGTTTGTTCGGTTATATGTCGGTGAGTTTCAAGCAACATTTGGTTAAATAAACAGATGTTACGCATAACTTATTTCTTGGCAAAGATCAATGACTACTTAATTCTTTCGTTTCGAAATAATTAATAAAAATTGTATTGAACTATTTAGATTTAACAATAAATGCATTTATTTCGCAATGTAAAATAATCTGGGGGACACCTATATTCCTAGCTTTAAATCAGTGTTAGCTGCAAATACAAAAATAAATTTAATGTTTTTAATCTCTTTTGGTGTTTTTTAAATGTTGTACCAGCTTTCACAGTAATACTGAGAAGAATGACTATAAAAAATTCAACAAAACTTCAATATACGTTGTGTGTATAAGATAAAAAGTAATATCTCTTTATTGGTACTTGATTGTCTCTGTATAATATGTGAATTTTTATTTAGTTTTGCAATTTTCAATAATGGTTGGGATATCATTTATATCCCGAAACGCACTGGCGTGCTATCGGGATGCTTCAAGCTGGCAGAAGTCAAATAAACGTTGCTGAGGTCCTCCACACGAACATAAGAATCATTAATCGTTTGTGGTTAATGTCTCAAGAAACTTGTGGTGTTGCTAAACGTCATACAGATTGTAAGACGTTTAGCAACACCACAAGTGTTGCTGAACGTCATATAGTTCAGCAACACTTGTTGGTGACCAGACAATAGCATATTTTTCTATGCTGTTGCGTGAACCGACGTAAACGAAAACCAACTAGATTAAAGACCGTTTTATTAGGTTGCAGGCTTTGTGAAATCGTACTGTAAATGCATCA